ATGAGCTTCTTCAACCACGGCCTGCACTTAAAAATGGGTTGCCCCCCACGGCGTTGATCGGGGTCGATCCTGTGGGCTCCGGGGGGACACTGAAGTAGCCGGGCCACATCAGAGCACAGTTTTGTTTTTGGCCTTCAGCCCTCTGAGTGGGATGGTTAAGGCACGTGATGGCCCCTCAGCCCAACAAAGGAGACCACGAAGAGAGAGCAGGTCCGCTGGTCAATTCCGCAATATTTTTGAAAAGCTACCGAAAGAATTCAAGTAACACACAGTTGGTCGAAATCTCCAACCTCTTTTGGCCCGGGGGGGGGTCAGCACAAATGCCATGAGCTTCTTCGACCATGGCCTGCACTTAAAAACGGGTTGCCCCCCACGGCGTTGATCAGGGTCGATCCTGTGGGCTCTGGGAGGACACTGAAGTAGCCGGGCCACATCAGAGGTACAGCAGTGGGCTAAATGGAGGCACGGGAAATTACGAACACAGGTAAACAGGCCCTTGCATATTAGTGGAATAAATTTCAGTGAAATGGCAACGCATCCGAGTCCTCCTGCAGAAGGCAGCTGGACTGGGGGTGGTGGTGGTCAAGCAGCAGGAGACCAGCTCGGCAGGCGGGGGGGGGCTCTGCAGGAAGGCGCATCGAAAGACCCTCGTTTGCTCTGGACAGGGTTGGTTTGCCCCTTTGGGTCAAGGTGGGCAAGGACATGATTGTAAGTCGCAAGGGATTTGCTATTATGATTATGTTATAATACAGAAATAAATAAATAACAAATAAATACCATAGCACTGAGGGGTTTGGGGGGGGCAAAAACCGCATCTACTTTACAAACAGGTTAAAATCCGGACCACAAAGAAGGATTTCCCCCCCAACCCCCCTATTGGGCTCTGCTTTCCTCTTTTGCATTTTAAGGTTAGTTAGTCACGTGCCCTCCCGTTGGAACCAACGTATGGCAAACTGTGAGAGGGCTTCCAAGGTACGTGAGACCTTTGAAGAGTAGTTTTCCCAATGCTACTTCCCCAGTGAGCTTCCACGGCTGAGCAGGGACTTTAAGGTTAGTTAGTCACATGCCCTCCAGTTGGAACCAACTTATGGCAAACTGTGAGAGGGCTTCCAAGATACGTGAGACCTTTGAAGAGTAGTTTTGCCAATGCTACTTCCCCAGTGAACTTCCACGGCTGAGCAGGGATTCGAACCCGGGTCTCCAGAGCCCTAGTCCCATCACTCCATCGGGTAACACCACCCTAGGTACCGCCTACTTTACGGTTACTTTAAGCAACGTCGGATCAACCGTTCAGAACGGACTTTTATAAGGAGGGTAGCACCGGAGGGCGTTCTGGCCCCCTCAAACAATGCTAAAGGGGAGAGAAATCGACTTTCTCTTCTTGTTTTGTTTGCCATTTTTCGTTTTTAAATAGCAAACAAAGCACACATTTAAATACCGTTACCGGCTAGAGGAAGGACATTTAAATTAAGGATGCATTAAAAAAAGGAACACCAACCCAAACCCAAAGAAACACCTTAGGCATTCAAAAGGCCTAGCTCATTCCAGGACAGCAAGACACAAGACCTTCCCGTTGATGTCAAACAGAGGAGTTAAAAGATTAGAAACAGACCCTGTTCGTAGTAGGCTGTTACTTGTAAGATGAGCCAAAGCTGGGTCGGACCATTGCTCATGGTCAGCCCTTTCGGCTGGAGTTGGAAATGGAGGCAGTCCATGTTGGGAAGGTCCTTCCATGGACGACACACTCACAACCCTGGTGAACTGGGAGAAATCGGCTGGACACACTTGTACAAAAGGATCTCTGTCTGCATCGGGAGTCTCAACGCGCGACTCCCTCCTAACAAGGACAGAAGGTCTACAGAGGCTTCTAGCGGAGAACACAAATGCATAGATTCTGCTACGGGGTTAGGGGTCCGCAGGGTGCCGGCTGGCTGCCCCTCATCCCCCGACAGTTCGGCTGTGCAAAGTAAGGCTGCTCCCAAGAAAGGCCCGCTCCGAGAGGTCCCATCATCCAATCAGTTCGCCCACGACTTACGGTCCTCGGTATTCTTAGGGGTCTTTTCGGGTCGTAAGGCTGCCCCGCCTTCCGTTTTGGCAAGGGCCGTCAAAGACGTGAGGCTGGAGGTGGAGCCCGGCAGCGGGCCGCTCCTCTGGAGCTCTGGCGCTGCTCCCCCTTGCAGTCTCATCCCCGCGCTCCGGCGCCTCGCTGGTCCGGTCGCCCTTTTGACTCGGCTCGGCTTCACCAGGAGCCCATAACCTGGATTGCACTTGAAGTATTGCTTTCCTCCGATGGAACCGTCGTTCTTACCTTCAAGGGGAAAGGAGATTTTTATTTTAAAAAATTAAAATAAACGGGAGCCATGAAAATAAATTCATCAACCTCTGTCTGGATCAGCCAAGATCAGATGGTCTGCCCAAAAATCAGATTAAAAGTGGGAAATCCCAGCAATACAGAAAGCTGCCTCTTCCTGAACCAGATTCGTTGGTTCATCTAGCCCAGGCATGTCAACTCTTAATTAGCGCCCGATCTCCAGGGGTTCAGATAGACTGCCCCAGTAGGGAGACCTGGAATTTTTGGACTAGAAATTTCGTAATTCTCTATTCTGGAAGTCCTACCTGACAGACAAGACACTTTACAGACACCTAAATGTGGCTCGCCTGGGAGATGGGCCTAAATTTGTAATGCACTGAGGCTTAGCTAGGCCTAGCTCTGCCCAAGCTTCCTGTTCCTGCCCCAGGGCCAGCTGGGAGCTTTCCTTCCGAACAGGAAGCTAAGTGAGAAAGAAAGTGTTTGGAACTGAGAAGATATTCAAAAAGGTTAGGATGCTCATTGTGGTCTAAAAACACATCGTGGCACAGCAAAATAGATTTTTAGACTGCTGAACCTAAATGATAAAAAAAATCTGTTGCTGCCATCACACCACGGAGATTTTGATGCCGTGTTCATCAAATGCCCTATGAATCGTGGGTCTTTCCTCACAACCCAGCTGAAGCTGGTCACAAGAACACAACTGGCCAATGTTCACCCTGCTCCCTCATTTCAGGAGAGCCACCAGGTACAGGATGGACCGGTCAAAGCCCAGGCCTCCAGACTTGCCGAGGAACTGTCCTGCGCTGAAGACAGATCCACACAATGTGCAGCTATCCCTTGACTTATCTTCTCCTTCCTCCCGAATCTAAAATGTGAAAGTGGCTGCTTTCCAAAATGGAAAAAGGATTGGGACAGGACCTGGCCAGAAAACAGATTCATTGCCTGGAAACCTTCAAAGCATACCCTAACTTTCTTTAATAAGTCTTTGCCAAGGTTTACCGCATTAATTAATTGGTGGTGGTTAATATCCTGTTCCCTAAAAGCCAAGCAGAAGGGCAGTCCCGTCAGGGGCCAGTCTCCACCCACTAGGCTCTTTGAGGTATATGCCTATTCTCACGCTGCTTCCAAGACTGGTCACACCAGTGGTGTCGAACTGTGGCCCTCCAGATGTTCTTGGACTTCAACTCCCAGAAGCCTTCACCACCACCTCTGCTGGCCAGGATTTCTGGGAGTTGAAGGCCAAGAACATCTGGAGGGCCACAGTTTGACACCACTGGGTCACACAATCAATGGTGCAAAGCGAAGCATTGGTGGAGCATGATGGGAAAACACCTGTGATATCCCTTCTACTCTGTCTTTAAGCAACAGGAACCTAGCCCCTGTTTCACAGATGCACATGCTTTTGGTGGGTCTGGCATGGTTGGTGTGAGGAAATTGGCCTCAATTAAAAATAATAATAAACTTGCTCTTATTATGCAGGAAATAAAATGGATTGGGCAGGAACCTAGAAAACAGATTTGAACTTTAGTCTCCTTTAATAGACTGCTCCTTATTTGTTAGTTTAACTCAACTGGCATTTGTTTCAATACATTCACTCACAGACTCTAGCAAATTAGAAAGAATAAAATATTTCTGTTTACTCACAGTTCTTCTTATATAAAAACAAGTTTTACTGAGTTTAACTGCTTAATTTGCTTCATTATTAACTAACTAACTGGTTGCATTGTTGACAGATCATTTCACTCTAACTATTCACTTCTGACTCCATAACTCTGAACACATGGACAGAACACTAATTACTAACTGTGACTGGGAAAAACAGTGGGGAAAAGAACTCTGAGGTAGAGAGGGAACTATTGGCTGCTACTGGATTGATTGACATTAACTGCCGCTTCCTCCCAGGAATCCTATGAGGGTGTCAAAGGAGAAGGCCAAATATAGAGAAACTTCAAGAGTCACCCCTATCTGTTTCATTCATCACCTGAGAAAGCTACTATTTTGCAAGAAAAGTCCTATAATCCCCCAGTCCGCACAACATCTGCTGGCTCAACACCACACAGCTCAACCCAACATGAAGAACGTTTTGCCCAGTTACCTGACGGCAAATCCAACTCAACTCCGACCCAGGTCCCTTCCTGGAAGTCCGTGGGGCCAACGTATCTCACGGTCCCGCTCTTACTGGTCCCGATGGTCACGTATTCGCCCTCCTTCAGCCAGTCCGGGACTTCGTTGGTTTCTTCAGAGTCCGACGCTGTGCCGGGTTTTTCCTCGGGGCCAGCTTCGCTGCCGTTGTCCGGGTTGGGCCCTTGTGAATTCCGACGGCTTTTCTCGTCTTCGGAACTCAAGGAGGCTCCCGGTTCTCCTCCCAACATGCTGGAGAAGGAGCGGAGCTCGGACGTCCTGACTCTTTGGATTTTGAATGGCGAGACTGTGCCGCTGGGTGGCGGGGAGAGGTCGGAAAGAACTGGGGCTCTGGAAGGTCCCGTCTCACCGATGGAGGCTGGCTTTCCCGCCCGAGGGGGACTCCCACCGGGTGAAGCCAAAGGCGGCTGTGAAGATGTCAGTCTTTCCCTCAACTCTTTCTGCCTTGACGGAGAGGTAGAAGGGCCACCTGTGCCCTCTGCAGCTGGAGAGGTAGCTCCTTGGTCTTCAGCTGGAGGGGCAGAAGAACGAACGGGCTTTGACCCTAAGTGGCTGTCGCTGCTCACTTGATCACCGTCCTTAGTTCTCGTTGGATCAAGTTTAAGGCTAGGGCTAACCAGATCCCCTCTGGGGAGAGAAGAGTCCGAAGGTAAAACCGGGCACGATTTTAGGGGGGTGTCCATCGTAGACCCCTGCAGGGCAGCGGCGGGAGGCTGGGGAGCCTCGTTTGTGGCGGGCGCCTGGCCGCCCACCACCTGAAGGGTCGCCTCGTTCGCCTGAGCGAGTGCTTCCGAAAGGGTCGCCGTGGAAACGCTGTGGGAGAAGTAGCCGCTGGAGGCTTCGCTCAAGGGGCTCGGTGGCCCCTCTTGGGAGTCCTGAGTTTGAGCGTCCACGGAGGGTTGTTGCAAAGGCACCTTGGTAGACCTTTCCGGGTTCTTCTCCAGCTCAGTCGAGTGCGCGGCCACCTCGAAAGGTTCTTTGCGCCCGTCCCCTGAGGCGGCCTGGGAACAGAAAGGGACACACACCCCTGCAGGTCAGGAGAAGCCAGGGTGACCTTCTCCAACGTAAAAAACATGGCGGCAGGAATCAATGAGTTCAAGTACTGGTGGACACCATGCCCAGCTGTGGTTCAAGGACTGGTTTGGAAGGCACCAGTGCGGGACATGAGGGGATGTCACAGAACCAGAGAATCGTGAAGTTGGAAGGGCCTCAAAAGGCCATCAAGTCCAACCCCCTGCTCAAGGCAGGAATCCAACTCAAAGCAGATCTGGCAGATGGTTGTCTCAAGTTTCTCTTGAACTGCCTCCAACACTGGAGCGCTCACCACCTCTTGAGGTCATCAATTCCGTTGTTGTACTGCTCTAACAGTTAGGAAGTTTTTCCTGACATTCAGTCGAAATCTGGCTTCCTGTAACTTTGAGCCCATGGTTGGGTGTCCTGCGCTATGAGATGTCCTACCCATACCATTGTATTATCCCTCACCCAGAGCTAAAACGTAGATCGGTCTTAGGAGAAGGAAGCTCTATTTAGCCATGATCTAATAGCACCTTTTTAGTAGGTGCCCCTGGTACTGGTGCTATTCAAAAATTCATCTTTTTCTGGACTCCTCCTGGATTTCCCCTATCAGTGGCCGTTACACCTATCAGTGGCCCACAGGGTTTAGCGAGAAGCGGCAGCCGCAGAAAACACTACCATTCTAGAACGGAGAAATTAGGCACATCAGGACGAGTGAGCTGTGCGAGGAATAAGATTTAACAACAACAGACGGCAAGGGAGAAGCACTTGAGAGGTTCAGTCACGAGAAGAGCTCATTGTGGCCTCAACATCCACAAAGAAGTTCAGCTTCTACAAGCAGAGCCACGCTAACACAAAGGACGGAAGAGCATTTATCTCTTTGCGTGATGATACCAGATTTCATGTTTAACCCTACTTGTTCACTCTTAAGTGGGCGGGGGAGGCATATTGTTCAGCTATTCAGAAATTATTCTGCCTCTTCTAAGAGACACTCAAAATATTCTTGTTTAAGGGTCTTCTGTCCTTGATTTAGCAATTGATCGTTGCAGCCATTTACTGCTGCACTTCAATATCAACACTGGATGAGTGTTCTCTAACTGGCATAGAGATATCATTCTTTATCCATTTTCCCCCCAATCCAGACCATGTTTTGAGGGGGAGCGAACCACCCCAATGTTGTGTGGGGCGGGAGGGGAGAGTTGGAGAGAGAGGCACACACCATCGGCCAAGCATAACTGAGCAGGTACAGTGGTGCCTCGCTTAACAACGTTAATTTGTTCCAGCGAAATCGCTGTAGAGCGAAAACGCTGTAAAGCGAAATTTGCCAAAACCTAATCATCAAGCGATTTCATTGTAGAGTGGGGCAATCGTTAAGCGAGTCCTTTCACCACTGTAGTGAGATCTCTGATTTAAGGCAGCATTTCCCAATCGGTCACTTTTCTGAGGCCCAAGACCACAAATTCTCACATCTCCAATCAATAACCGGATTGTAGGATCTGCAGTCGAGGCGTTTGGAAAGTGCCCAGTGGAGGAAGCCAATGCAGTACTCCAAAAAGAGTCAAATGGAAGGGAGAAACAAGAAGACATCATTAGGGGAAGGGGCCTCCAGTGTCTCTACCAAGGCAACACATTTCTTTTCTCCTAGGTTTCCCTTCAAAATAAACATTTAATTTAATGAATTAAAAGCTTTACCCACTAAATCTAAACGAAACTAGACGTCTGGGTCTTTGTAACTGAAATTTTAACAGATTAAGATTTCCAGCTGTGGGAGTAACAACCCTCAATGAGTTTATGGTTTGCTTAAATATGAACGCATTAAGAGGACTCCGTGGAGGTAGCAGGGCTAAGAGGCATTTACTTACAGAAAGCCCTCCAGGATTAATAAATAAATCGACACCACACAAGAAAGATGCCCTGCGTTATTTACTGAAAGATTATTTATATTACAGGAACAGGCGCTTAGCTGTTTGAAAGGTGCAATTTATGTGAATGGGGGAAACACACAAGATTTATGCATCTCCCCTAGTTATTTGGCTTCATTCACAGGAGAGATAAATCACCGTTTCCAAGTCAAGGGTCCCACAGTTGCACAACCTCCACTTCCAAATTCTGGTCCCATTTCCAGAGATGCTAACAGAAACACTTGGAGATTTAATGGCACCTTCCAAGATCCATAGTTTTTTTTTTCTGACCTGGGCACTGCAGATGTGTATTTAAATTCCACAAACACCTCTTTTGCAAAAAAGGGAGGGATGGTGAATACATAGGGAACTCCCTTCTCTACATCATGGACAAACCTCTGACCGATCTGCTTTGACTTGGATCTTTTGTCTTGAGCAGGGGGTTGGACCCTATGGCTTTATGTTGCTGTTTAGTCGTTTAGTCGTGTCCGACTCTTCCTGACCCCATGGACCAGAGCACGCCAAGCCCTCCTGTCTTCCACCGCCTCCCGGAGTTGGGTCAAAGTCATGTTGGTCACTTCGATGACCCTGTCCAACCATCTCGTCCTCGGTCGTCCCCTTCTCCTCTTGCCTTCACACTTGGCTTTATAGGCCTCTCCCAATGCCATGATTCTATGATTTCAGAAGGACTGGCAAGAATATCGGCTTCTCACCCCACCCCACAACCTATGACAATTTGATGGAAGGCAGGGCTTTTGGTGCTGAAATCCAGGTTCCATAAGAACTAAGATCTTTTTCTGGTCCCTGGAAGAGGACAGTAATACAGACAGCAGTGCCTGGTGGAAGCTAACCCCAACACAGAGCTGGTCTCTACAGAGAGATGAGCTTTAAAATGGGAGTACTGTCAGGAAAACTCTTATTCTCAGATGTAGGATATTGGATAGCTCAATGGGTTAGGTCTCTGGCTCCAGAGCCAGAGGTTGGGAGTTTGATTTCCCCACTGGGTGCCTCCTGGGAGAAAAGCCAGCCTGGTTAGCCTTGAGCAAGCTGCACAGTCCCACAAGAAGGGAACGGGAAACCACAGATTTGCTTCTGGAGGGAAACAAAGGCTATTTCCTGATTAAGTTGTGCCTGGAACACATGTTGAATTGCGTGGGGCAATAAATTCGTCTCTCACTCACTATCTTTTTGAGTGAACTTGAAAAGGGCCTAGTATGAAAATCTCTGAAGCCAGCTGTCTGACATCTGCGGATCGGCTCCCCTCTGCAGAGTCTTATCTGTCCTCCAAATGTCACGCCCGTCAGCCCAAAACCAGAAAAAAAAAGTTGTAGCCATTTTAGCTTTTCAATAAACTGGCCCTGCAAAAGTAAAGGCTGGAACAGACGTGGGGGCATAAATTGAAGTGGATGGGCAGGGGTTGCTCTCTGGGCAGAATCGGGGTGCGTTTTTAAGCCCCACATTAGCCCGCAAAGGGGATCAGAAAAGAAGGTCACAGCCCTGTCCTTTATGGTGCGCTGTGACACGAGGCTGCCTCCACCAGGCACTGCTCACGAGCCAAGGTTGCAACAGACACCGAGGTAAATGACTCAAAGGGACACTTTTAGAGGTTGATATTCCATTTGGGAGCTCTCCTGTGCGGTGTGAAAGAAAAAGGAACAATTAAGCTACCGTTCCAATCAATGAACTGGACACTGCCCACAATTCTTTTTCCAGCAGCGATGTATGGAAGTGAGAGCTGGACCATAAAGAAGGCTGACCTCCGAAGAATTGATGCTTTTGAACTGTGGTCCTGGGGGAGATGCTAGAGAGCCCCCTGGACTGCAAAGAGAATAAACCTATCCATCTTGAAGGAAATCAACCCTGAGTGCTCGCTGGAAGGCCACATCCTGAAGCGGAGTCTCCAATACTTTGGCTATCTCCCAAGACTCCCTGGAAAAGCCCCTGATGTTGGGAAAGTGTGAGGGCAAGAGGAGAAGGGGACGACGGAGGATGAGATGGGTGGACAGGGTCACCGAAGCGACCAACATGAATTTGACACAATTACGGGAGGCAGTGGAAGACAGGAGGGCCTGGCGTGCTCTGGTCCATGGGGTCACGAAGAGTCAGACATGAGTTAATGACTAAACACCACCACCCACAATTCTGGAAATAGATTGTAGGCTTGCTATTAAAGAAAGATGACATGCAAAGCCTTAGTAAAAGGGAATGGAAGATTTGCTTTTTTGGACTCCAGCGCTGGAGGCATTCAAGAGTCAGCTGGACCACCCTCTGTCAGATCTGCTTTGAAGAGGCATTCAAGAGTCAGTTGGACCACCCCCTGTAAGATCTGCTTTGACTTGAGATTCCTGCCTTGAGCAGGGCATTGGACTCAATGGCCACAGAGGTCCCTTCCAACTCCATGATTCTATGACTGCAATTGACTACTATGAGTACAATTCCCAGGCTCCCCCAGCAGTATTATTAGTGACATCTGTGTCTTATGAGAAGAGAAACTGAGAGCACCCCTATGGATACTGTAGTGCAGGTCCAGTACATGAATTGCTAGAAGACCCATTTAGAATCAGCTTCCTTGAAGCCTCACTTCCAAACCTCTGGGTCAGCTGGCACGTCAAACTCCTATAAACCTGTTGGCCGTTTGTGTGAATGGAACCCTTCTACTGACCCCAACTAGAGATTCTGTATTCCCGTAAAAGAATAATGATAATACAGCTAATAAAGAAGTAGCTGCTGTGTTATTCTGATTTGCACAGTGTTTTGGTGGCTTACCTGCTTCAGTTTTGCAGCGCTGGCATCAACGCTGGCGGACTGGACCATAATCCGTGGGACAGGCTGGAAGGAAGAAAAGTATTAGCCCTTGGAAGATCAAAGTACACACTACTCAGAAAATGGAGAATTGACAGCAGATATACATCCAGTCCACAGAACGTGGAAGGATCTGTAAATGAAGCAAGTCTGAAATCAACCCCTGCCTACATCCTGCATCTTTCAATACAACGATTCCTCCAGCTGTCACCAAATTCTTCCTGATAATCACATGGTTATGCTAGCATAATGAAACAGAATAATTTGGGGAGGCTAATTGGCTGAAGTTTAAAAAAAAATACCCACAGAGACCTAATATGATTTTTGATGCAGTGGATAATATCTACAGTGGTTTTTTTTTTTTAAAAAAAACTTCAGGCCATTCACCTCCAAAAGGTAGGGCATTTGCATTATGCTGGCATAACTACGCAAGAGGATTCTGGCTGATATTTGTAGGGCTTGCCTCCCATACCTTTTCCCCCCCTCCTAAATAAATCTAAGGAATGGTTTACACTCTCCAAAATTCTTTCACAACTTAAAAAAGGGAGGATCTTATAACAATTAAAATAGACACAAATTCAACAGAAACAAGGCATTTAAGGAATCTGACTCTTATTCTGGGTCCTTCGATTTAAAAAGTGCCATAAAATGTAAAGAAACCAAGGTACCCACAGAAGGATAGAGCTATGTTTTATGCAAGGACAGCCCGGGACAGCATATGTTAATGCTGGATCTGGGTAAGCAGAGAAGGGAGATGCCCCAAATTTTGCAATGATGCAGAAATTCAAATTATTTGAAAGGCTGTCCTACAGAGGAGGGGCAGGATCTGTTCTCAATCATCCCAGAGTGCAGGACATGCAAAAATGGGCTCAAGTTAAAGAAAGCTAGATTTCAGTTGAATATCAGGAAAAACTTCCTAACTGTTAGAGCAGTACGATAATGGAACCGATGACCTTGGGAGGTGGCGAGCGCTCTAATGCTGGAGGCATTCAAGAAATACTTAGATCATCACCTGGCAGATACGCTTTGATTGTATTCCTGCCCTGAGCAAGGGGTTGGACTGGATGGCCTTGTAGGCCCCTTCCAACTTCACTTTTCTATGATTCTGTGAACAGTAGCAGGGCTTAAAAGAAGCAGACTTTAAGCAGTAAGTTATCTCAGGAATACTGGTTTTTAACTTACAGATTTTAAAACGTTTTAAAATTATTTTTAATCTTAATACCAGTTTAACTGGTTTTTGATATCTATATCGTATTTTGAAACTATGTTTGTTTAATATATTTTTTTCTGTTGGGTCCCCAGTGGGTA